ACTTGCGTATCAAGACGCGCAGACGACCGTCATCGTTGCCTAGTGCTCTAAAGGTGACAAGTCTAGCATGATGACGTTTATGACGGCGACGTCGAATTTCTCAAAAGGCAATTTGTGATGCAGTTGAATGCCGAAGGGAATAGCCAATAATCTCACCATCCAAGAACTCTCCTTCAAAAGCCCTCGCTGTTCAAGGAATTAGTGTTCTGACAGCGACCGTTTGGCATATCGATTGATATTTCAGATAAATATCTCGATTTCACTTCACAGTACTCCAATGATCGTCACCTAACAGCAGCTGCTGTGCCGAAAATGAATGCTATGTGTTTAGTCCTAGAGGTCAGTTTGATCGGTTGCCTAGTTCTGACGAAAAAACACGTTCTGGCTAAATTTAGCTAGAAACACGAATATATTTTGAAGCAATAAATTGCCTGAAGATCAGAAACGATTCTCTATCGGTCAAAAATTTTCTTTCTCTTTTCGTTGGAGCATTTTCCCTATTTTCTTTTTCTGGAGAACATTCATACGATAAGGATTTCCTCAGTCGGAGGGGCGTTTGACTCAGAATCGAGAGGTCACAGGTTCAAGTCCCTGTTCGATAATGACGTTTCTCTCTTTTGTAACCGGTAAATAAGAACCAGTCTGTGGAAAGGAACATGGAGATTGCACGCTACGCTTGCCAAATAGCTGTGCCCTTTAGAGTGACCTACTACTGCGTGTTGGCGTAAAAGCGGAGATCGGCGTTGTGCCATCAACTTTATGAAAAGAAGGGCGCTAGCAGTGACATTGTACAGGAAACCGAAGGAGATGCTGTCACTATAAAGGGTTGCTGTCATGATAAACCGAAACTGATGGATTAGGATCTCTCATCCATATTCTTCTCTTAAAAATTATGACGTGTATGATGTTGTCTATGCTCTGGACAGAAGACGCCATTAAATCAGAATGGGCACAACTGAAGATAACAACAAATAATTACTTATAACTAGCAATATGCTGGTAAACCCGTAAGATCAGATTTATTTTTATGCATAAACAGTTATTTATGCTGTTGCATTTTCGTTTACTGTTCAAACTGAATGTTAATTTGCTGTTAATATCGAGGGTGACAAACTGATTGTCACGTAAAGGCCGATGGCCTGAAAAATATGCAAGGTCTGTCCCCCGGGATCACGTTCCAAGTGCACAAATTCGATAACGAGCCGGATTACGTGATTTCCGCCTTCTAAGATGTCAACGGAAGACGGCCCGGGCTGTACATGTATCTCACTTGTGAGAAACTGGTTTCCGGGGAGTCAAAGCGTCGAGTCGGTCGTCCAACAACATACCGGATGATCCAATGGTCAATTTGCGTAATCAGCAGTGAATTAAGAAAGCAGAAAATAGATATTCTGGAAGAGCATCGATTTGCGTTCATTATGACCGATAACCAGGACATGTCAGGTAATGGGAAATGGATTCAAATATCTAATGGTGTACCGCACGTCTAAGTGGCTCCCCTGATTTCAGAAGCAATCTCTAAGCTCCGTATTCGCTACAGCCGATATACAGACGGAGCAAGGTAGCAAACAGGGCGCAACCACCAATGCATTTCCGTAGCTGCTATCTGGAGTCGACCGGTGTTTGGTCAGCTCCGTATCTTGCTCATGTGTGTATTTGCCTGGGCAACATAATGGCGGATAACATAATGCACTGACCAAACACCGATCAGCTTACAGACGACAGATACAATCGCTGACTGTTGTAATAATCGTCGTTCAGCCCCAATTACTTACCTTCTTTAAATGAACCCTTTCTTAGCAACGTGTCAAGGGCACCGGCGATGCTGGACAGTAATTTTGCCATGCGTTGCCATCGCTGCTAATTTATATACTTTCGCTGATTTTCGGCCATGACTAAGTCAGAACGCGGTTCGCGTCGTTCGTCGTTTGAAGTCTTTGGTTCTCGCCGGGTTTTTTTTTGTAAATTGGCCGGCAACAAAATTTGACCGTATTTACGACGCAGAGTATCAGTTAGTTTTTGAGTTTGTCACTTTTATTTATGGCTTGTATGGCGGTGACGTTTTTATGAACATCGTTGACTTATTTTCCGGTCATTAAGTTCCGTTATTTGCGAGCATAAACGGCGACCAACGAAGGCAGGGTCGAGTGGTTTTCTTTTCTTTATTTTTTTTGGGCCCAACTTAAGGTACGCTTTCATCCAATCAGTTTTTGACGCGTGATCGATACTCGGCAGTCGATTGGTCGGTTATCGCGAATGTTTCGATTGGATACCAGCCCAGTAATCGCCGTCCTTATTGAAAGGGGGTTCAATTCCATTAAAAACGGCAGGTAGGAGCAAAAATGTCCCGCTTAAAGTTATATTTTGATTTTATGACAACGACTTAGACTCACTGCGGTGTTTTCAGGCGCACGTGCGGTCACCTTCTGGCGAACGGGTCTCCTCCGCATAGGATAAAGATACTGACTCTCGAGTCGACCACTCATATCTACGAAGACCCGTGCGAGTACACGTCGTTCGTCGTTAATCCTCAGCCGGTCATGTCGGGAACGCTATCTTCAGATGCCGGCTCCAGCCGACCTGACCCGCAGAGGAACACCGTCGTCGAGAATTGCACTCTGTCCTCACTCGAAGGCGGTGGATCCTCGACCAGGGAACGTATTAATATCTCGCCCTCGACCTACAAGCTGCTTACGGCCGCCGACATCTACCGCCAGTCCACTTCGGACGACGACTCGGGCTGCGCATTGGAAGAATACGCCTGGGTTCCCTCCGGGCTTCGGCCGGACATGGTAAGCTGGACCTTAAAATTTCGCGTGTATGGTTTACGTACCACGCCGTCGTTTCAGGTACAACGTTACTTCTCGCGATTGCCTGAAGACAAGGTGCCATACCTGAAAAGTTCCGGCGAAAAATGGCGTATTCGACAGCTGCTCCTGCAGCTACCGCCACAAGATTCAGAGACGAGATACTGCCGTGATTTGTCGTGCAGGGAGGAGAAGGAGTTGAAGGCGTTTGTTCAGATGAGGAAAAAGGAGGCTCTTGGCCGAGGTGTGGTTCAGGTCATCCATCGCTTGAAAAACACCGTGTGTTCCGAATGCAACGAAACATTGAACGTCGGTGATCTGGCCGTATTCGCTGAGAGAGTCGGCGAACACGCAGCCTGGCATCCGTACTGTTTCATCTGTCACAGCTGCCATGAGCTGTTAATCGACCTAATCTACTTCTACAAAGACGGCTACGTGTACTGCGGAAGGCATCATGCGGAGCTTTTCAAACCACGGTGCGCTGCTTGCGACGAGGTAAGCATTTTCTTGTCCATGATGTTATTTCCGGGGTTGCAATAATTTACGAAAAGACTTCGGTCAGAAATATAACATTCGAACTTCAGAAGCAGATGGCTAGCTTTAACTCTTAAGCTAGCATTGTAAGTTGTTCCATACACTGATCATAGAAAATTGCTCACCCTCATCTTCTCAAACAGAGAGGAGGTGGCAACATGGCAAAAGCCATTTGATCAGGACTGCGGCCATAGAGACCTCAATGTATTTCCGTTTTTCCCGTTTAACGACTAATCGACTGACACAATAACCAGCATCATTCAGTCAGTTTCGAAGATCACGTATGCTTTCGGATCACGAACGCCGACGCTTCGCGCAGTGTCTCCAACTTTCTAGCCCTCACCAGCTTTGCAGCTTCAGCAGAAGGCTACCTGGAAGAGTAGCTGAGTCCTTCGAGAAACATTCTCCCTGGTTATTTTTAGCCGTCTTCAGGGTCTTCTGCTTGTTAATTGAGCAACCAGTCGCTCTTTTGCTTTTCTTTCTGGAAGAAATTGCAAGACGTATCCAAACGATCTCAGCGATCTCAGTTGTGGCTTTGCATCTGTTCCACTGCTTCTCCGTTTACCTACACAGCGCAAGGGACAGGAATAACCAAAAAGCGGTAAGCTTTTCCTCATAGATATGTTCGCACGCATGCCGGCCACGTCGCTTTTGGCTGGTAACTTTTCCAGACAGCGCTGTAGATCAGTTTCAGAAGATGCCAATTAAACGTAGTCGACTCTGACCAGCAACCGTCTCGTCTGCATA